CGAGCCATCGGTGACGTCCTGGCGAGCTCATGTCCCCCCAAAAGGTCGCACCCGCCCGTGGCTCCGCCGTCGGCTCCGCCGCGAGCGGCGACGGTGAGGCCGCCGGGGCTCGCCTATACCGGCTAGTGTGGAGCCCTCAGTGTAGTTGCGTGTTGTACTAGTGATGCTGCACTAGGCGGCCCGTTTTTAGCAAAAACCAGATACCACATCGCGTGTGGTCGTCGCAAAACCGCATCTTCGCCCGTCTGGGACCTCTTCGTACGGCTCCAAAAACCGCTCCTTAACGACGGCTACGCGGCCCGGCGGTCGATCTGCGCCTTCTCAGCGGTGGAGGGGATGTGGGCGGTACGTGCGTACCGCGTGGTGTTGCGACGGTTTGACGAGTGCGACTCCCAGCGTCGACTTTTCGACCCCACGGAGCCTCTGCTGCTCCGGGGGGGGGGTCTGCAGACCACCCGGCCGAACTTCAGAGTCGCGGTGCTCCTCAAATACCGCTCAAACGCCCACGATGTTGTGGAGGGGACATATGCTGATGATCCTGGCCCGATTGGTTCGCTCAGAAAGCTTCTGGGCGGTCGTTACGGTTCGCTCCCCGCACAACCGCCCGGAAGTATGGTACCCTAGAAAGGACTAGCTCAAGGGCAACACAGCGTCACCAGCCGTTGGCGCGCAGAACCAGTCTGCGGCCCCCGGTTGGGACGAGTGCGCGACGCGAACGAACCGCTCAATGTGGCCGGCAGCTCGCGCTGCCGGCGGGGTTGGTTGGGGAGAACCGGCACGGGGAAAGCCGGCCTCCCCGGAGGGGTCGCCCCCTGGAGGGGCCCCAAAGGGCCCCCCGGGGGGGCGGGGACCCCGCCCCGAGGGGCGGGGGCAGGTTCGTCGCTTAGCGCGATGGAGTCAACCCTTGTTGCCAACTCTACTGCTTAGAGGGAGCGGACCGTGAGTTGAGGGACGCGACCCACTTCGCCACAGCGGTCCGGCCCGCGGCTCGCCGCTAAGACGGCGACACGGCCGCAGCTCGTGTGCGTGTCGCCGTCTTTGTCCGGAGTGAAAAGTCCAACGCGCTCGTCGGTGACGGTGTCCCTCAACCTGCGCCGCGCTCGGCGAACCTCGACAGCGCTTTCGGTGGCATGCAGCTCTTTGCGACAGAAGCCTGGAGAGCAGCTCCTCTGCTGCTCGCACACACTCTGCACAGTTGACACAGCCTATTGTGCGGCTGCCACAGCTGTGACAGCGATGGGCTCGCCCTCACTGGCCCTCAGTCACTTGTGCTGCGGCTTGTGTGAGGACACTGCTCGGCGACTGCCGGCACACTGTGAGACCGTGGGTGTGAGGTAAAACCACGGTACCAGCGCTTGGTCACATCGGCCCCGAGGTCAGATCCATCTACTCTGTTGATGACAAGACTTGTCTACCGGCTGGAGCCGAGACCGACGCAGGAGCCAGTCCGCAAACCCTCCTGGGGATGTAACTGCTAACTCGCACTGCGGGCGGACGGCGGTAGGACGGAGAGCGGACAAGAGAACCGCACACAATCGTCGTCTCTTGGCCCACATCCAAGAACGTTCCCAAGCACAACGGCCACGTGCACAAGACGCCTCGGGCCACGATCAGTAGAGGTACGGTACGGGGAGGGAGGGGGAGCAGCGGGGCGAGAGGCGCTGCCCAGAGAGGAGAGCGAGGCGGCCGCGAGGCCTAGTTGCTCCGGCTGATGATGTAGTCGGCGAGGCCGAGCAGGGGCGCCGCCCGCTCTCCGTATGGCTCGAGCGCCGCCTTGGCCTCGTCCACGAGCTCGCGGGCGACCTGATTAATAATTAATAATTAATGTCGAACTGATGTTCATTACTCATTGGCCTCGTGCACAAGCTCGCGGGCGACCTGAGTAAGAATGACTCGAATGTCGAGCTGAGAGTCTCGTAGCCTCGCAATCTCGTAGCACACGAGTGCGAGTGTACTTAGCTACTAGCGCTACTGGTAAGCAACAGTCCACACCTCGCGCGAGCGGTCGAGGCCGAGCAGCTTCGGGTATGTCGTCTTGTCGGCGTCGAGGTCCTTGCCGGCCGTCTTGCCGAGCTCCTCGGTGGAGGCGGTGACGTCGAGGATATCGTCCGCGACCTAATTAATAATGAATCATTAAGTATTCATTATTAACGGGCGACCTCGGGTGAGCTCGTCCGATCTCGTCCAATCTCGCGCAATCTCGTCCAATCTCGCGCAATCACGCACTTGGAACGCGAGCCCGATCTTGTTCGCGTACGTCTCGCACCGCGCCAGGTCCTCGTCCGAGGCGCCGGCGAGCGCCGCCCCGCAACAGACCGCGGCCTTGAGCAGCGCCGCGGTCTTGTAGGTGTGTATCCACTGCAGCGTGTCGATCCCGACGTCCGGCTGCCCCTCGCACTTGAGGTCCATCACCTGCCCGCGAGATCGCGCGAGATCACACCACCGTCCCCCGAGATTGCGCCGAGATTGCGCCTCGCAGTAGAGGTCCCATCGCCCGCCCGCCAGCCCGAGCTAATTAATAATTACTAGCCATTGATATTGACTAGACACTGCCCCATCGCCTGCCCGCCCGCCAGCCCGAGCTAATTAATAATTACTAGCCATTGATATTGACTAGACACTGCCCCATCGCCTGCCCGCCCGCCAGCCCGAGCTAATTAATAATTACTAGCCATTGATATTGACTAGACACTGCCCCATCGCCTGCCCGCCCGCCAGCCCCATCGGGCCGACGCTCTCGCCGAGCATGCGCAGGACCTGGACGACCCTCTCCGCCGCCACGCCCTTTGTGTTTGCGGCGACGTACTCGAACGCCTAATTGCTTCATTCACTCGTCATTACGCACTGAGCAACTAGTCTGCGTCGGCGTACTCGAACGCCGTCGAGAGCATCGCGTCGCCCGCGAGTATGGCAACGTCGTCGCCGTACAGGACGTGGTTGGTCGGCTGGCGTGGGGAGGGAGAGAACAGCATCGGGCGGGAGGGGACGAGTGTTCTAGGCGGAGGAGAGAGGGGAGAGCGCGCCGGGAGGATGGGGGCGGGGAGTAGGAAAGAGGAGGGGAGGGAGGCAGCCAGAGGAAAGCAGGAGCGGTTCGACAACGGTCTTGGGGAGGGGCGCACCTTCCCGCGCCGGAAGTCGTCATTGTCCATCGCAGGGAGGTCGTCGTGGATGAG